TCTCTCTCTCTCTTTTTCTCTTTTCTCATTTGTTATATTGGGCGCACACGGTGATGTCCAGGCATCAGATGGCATAACTATCTAAATTCTGTAAGCCGTAGCATGTCGAGTAGCATGTCGTCTCCTCTGTGTTAAATGTCGAACTTGCGGTCCAACAAGCTGCCGTTGCCGTTCATGAAGTGGAATTGGACGACCTCTGCGCTTACTTTTGATGCACGAACTGTTTAGCAAGTTTCACTAACAATCGCAGCAAACTGTCTCAAACAAAGCCCGCAAAAAATGAGACAATGAACACTGACTCATCTCCAAATTTAATCAACAACTACCGCAGTTCCATTATCGTTGAGCTTGCACACAAGGGGTCTGTGGGTTGTCCGGTTCTGTTCGTTTTGAGACTTGGCTTCGGGGTCTGAGTACGTGCGTTATTCACATTGGCTATCAGATGAAACATAGTACAAGGACATAATATATTGTGCATTATCACCAGCCGAAAAAGGAATTTCACTGCACTCTGTACTAAGAAGTCTCTGAAGCTCAACCAGCTAAGTCATCATGGCTGGCAACTAACCCGCAATAATTGGGTTTCACGCGGAGGCCTGTGCCACAAACACTGTCCAGATTCGAGCTAACCGCTAACCATGATCCTCGCCAAATGAGCATGAGCCTACGATAGGCACAAACTGCCATCGAACAGTCAAGATTCCAAGTTGCGTGAGCTTTCCAATCAACACCAGCATGCCCTTGCATTGGCTCATGGCCCCAACCCGGTGCAGGCGCTTGCCCGCATGGAGCCACCAGTGACGGTGTTGTGGAGAAATCCAAACAGGGGTGCTCTTTTCGCTGGGCTTCCAGAAAAATAGACGGAGCGCTAGAAGCCCAGGTAGGTACTACATCCACTCACCCTGAAAGGAAAAGTTGGGTTTAGGGCTCATGAGATGTACGGGGGAAGACGAGGCGGCCCTGAACCCTAAACCCTAAAAAAACCCTAAACCCCTTGAAGCGCTTACACCTTGAGTCTTTTTGCGCGGATCGCCCTTGTTCTGTACATTTGTCCGTTGAGCTGAGTGCTAGGGCCCTCTTTCAATTCGGAAAGACTCCCCCCCCTAGGTATTCTCGATCCCCCATATGAGAGTTTCCAAAAATGGTGGACCCTGAACCAGAAACCCTAGACAACAGGATGCATAGTTACCATAGGGACCCCTTCAACGGTACGCCTGATAGTCTGAACCAGCTGCAAAGCCCAAAAAAGCCACACAAACCTTTCAAGCATCTTGATTTCAAAGCATCACGCCTTCGGCCAAAAACCCTAAACCCTAAACCCCTAAACCCTAAACCCTAAACCCTAAACCCCTAAACCTTAAACCCCTAAACCCTAAAACCCACAAGCCTCTTTCGGCGGGGTGGAGTCGAGGATCCGGGAGCTCTGGATCTAGAAGAAGCGAGGCCTTGAAGGAGCCAAGAGTGGTATCGGGTTTGGGGCTGTAGGCTTCTTGGGTTCAGGGGCTTCCGGGTTTAAGGGCTTTAAGGATTTGGGCGGGGTGTGTGAGTTTAACGTTTTTATTTTCGAAGGGCCCATAGGTCTAAAGACTTTACGCGGGCTATGAATTGTTGCGTCGAGCCCGCGGACGGTCATCAGTGTTGGGTCCGTGACATCGCTAGCTACACACTTGTGGGCCTGAAGCCTTTCAGCGATTGTTGGGACTGAGGTCGTGCTTTCAGAAAGGGGGTTGGCCAGCTCAGTGTTTCTTCCGCGGCTAGGTTTATGCCTTAGTTTGCATACTCATGGAACTACACATAATAAATAACAATAGTCAAACTCCTAACCTGCGAGCTGCGTTGCTCAGGGTCGCTGTGCTAATCATCGAAAGACCCCCCAACCCGAAAACCCCTAACCCCTGAACATGCACGCATTCGCAAAACCTTAAGTATTAAGCCCCGGAGCCCTAAGCCCAAACTGGAATATAGAAAAGAAAGTTCAGAAGGCTGTAGGATCCCATACTTGATCGTCTACAGCTGTGGATGCATATAGCTATAATAAATGATTGGTACCATTTCCTGTCATATGGTACTGTTTATCTGGCGTTGCAAACTCTGCATGATGATCACCGTACTGCACAGCACATAATCTTTGCCACCCTAAGCCCCGAACCCCATAAACCCTGAACCCTAAACCCTGCATGCGTTGGCCGTTTCTTGCAGTTGCCATGCTCATCCTCGTATATTACTACCCTGAAGCCTCATGGGTTTGGGGTTTAGGGCTTAAGCGCGTGGTATCAGGAATCGACCTCAACATTGGATAGTGCAGTCAAAGCAAACTGAGGGTTCAAGATCCTGCATGACACAAAGGCCAGCAATGGATAGGATGAAATTTGATTATCCAGGTTCGACTACATCCATCAGATTGTGCCCCAGCGCAACTCAACTCACTACAACCTGCATCTCAAGTCACTTTACTCACATCGACAGCCTCCGAGTTCCCTGCCTGCTCTCGAGTCTCGACCAACTCAGGCCCGGTGCTTGGCAATGTCCGAGGAGATGTAAGCGGCCTGAAGGTAGGCCCAGGTAGGTTAGAGTGGAGTTGTCGGTGTGCCTTCGAAAGCCTTACAACAGCTTAAATCGCCTCGGCACGCTTCACGAGTTCTTCCAAGAAGGCGCCCCATCGCGCAAACTGGATGTTGAACCTCAGGTAATCTTGGCAGCAATCACCTTCGTATAACCTATGTAAGATAAGAAAGTAATATAATTCGTATCGCTCCCCTCATCGAACTCTTTCATGTTGGATGAGACCTTTCATATTGGGTGAGATTGCCTCTAGTAGATATAATCGATGAAAGCTTCATAGATAACTTAGATAACCATTCTGCCCTTATGAGCGTAGAGCAAATACTTCTTTTTCTCTATATACCCACCATCAGAAATTTACGTAGAAGAATAACTCCCACTTTTTTGATCGATAAGCAATTCAAGTGCTCGTATATTCTAATAACCATTAGTGTTTTCTCTTGAATCAAGAATACGAATGAGTAGAATATTCAATGTATACTACCTCTATACTCTACAAAGAAACAGAATTAATCAGACAACTAATAAATTACAATCTATAAAATAGCCCAGCGATGATCATTCCCATAACTCATATCGGTGAGGCGAGGGGCCACGGGGTGCTGTCAGTGTCGCAAGATCTCACAAGCTCGCGCCACAGTTCCTTGGTTTCAAAGCGCAAACCCCCATGCGACATGCTACAGACTATATATTGTTACTAGTGCCGCAAACTATTGGAAACTGAAGTCTTAGGCGAAGCCGAGCAGAATGTTGTCTCCATACAGCCCAAAGCTATACACGTACATTGACCCTGAATCCCAACCCCGATCCCCACCCCGAAACCTTAGACCCGAAACCTTGGACCCGGCTCTAAACCCTGAGCCCGACATCTTAGCAGGCTTACACATGGATGCGCCAGCGAAGGCTTCTGAGGCAACAGCGGCATGCAGGCAGAGTTTGCTGAACATCGACGACAACAAAAACTCATGCTGACTAAATTGGACCCTAAACCCTAAACCCTAAACCCTAAAGCCCTACACCCCTAAACCCTAAACCCTAATTGGCTTCATCTGGACAGGGCAAAGCTCCCAACAAGAGGTTGGTTCACACTGGGGATCTTTACGGGAATGGCAATGCGAGGCTCGCACTAAAGGGCTCCAAATAAAGGGTTCCGAGCCAATAAAAGGCTCGCAGTGAAGGGGCTCACAATACATGGCTGCAACAAGGGGTTCCCAACATGTGTCTCCCAACAAGGGATTTCCAATAGAGGTGATCCAAATAAGGGGGCTCCCTGCTAAGGCTCCCGATGCTCACAGTCGACTACTTTTCCTTCTTTCGGTCGCACAATAGGTGGCTTTGAACAAGTGGCTCCCAATAAGCGCCTCGCAATAAGGACCTTGCCTTCTGCTTCAATTAGAATGTTTGATACAAGTGATGGTGTAAGCATCCCCGAGACAATGTACTGAACGTGTTTCATCGCAGTGATGGCTTGAGCAGCATGGATTTCTTCGGCATGGTGAGGGGCTCCAAATAAGATGGCCCCTAAACATCAACCTTCCAAATAGGTAGAGGGGCTCACAAGAAAGGACTCACAATAGAGGATTCACAATGAGGTGCTGCGAGTAAGGCAATACTGGCAATACTGAGCCAGCAAAAAGCAGGGGACACTAGAGACGTCTCAAGCATAAATAGCTTTGCAAAAGCTGTTCAACTGGCCAAGCTGCTTTAAGCAGCTGGGCGCTATTTGGGGGGGACAACAGCTTCTGGGCACTTGGTTTTTCGGGCGGTAGGACCCCTAAGATCGCAGGAAATCCCTCACATAGGAACGGTTCATGAGGGCAGCAATTTCAAAAGTACCGACAGTTACTTCTTCCAAACAGGCCAAGTCGGAAAATTTAGCCAACAGTAGCCAACACATATGATTTATTGCTTTGTATCTGGAGTGGTTGGAGGAAGTTCCAACCAGCCTCCCATATAGTCACATAGGCCAACATGAGCCAATATGCTGCTACTTGAGAAACGATGCAAAAGGCAAACGGCGAGTGGCGCCCGAAGAGCGAACAAAACTACACGAGTTTGAACCAGTTTTGCGGTTTAGTGCGTAAGAATCAGCTCCTAAAGCGAGGGCGCTAGCGAATCCCTAAACCCTAAACTTTAGATTCCCAAATCCTGAAACCCTGAAGCCTCAACCCCAAATCCCCGCAAATCCTAAGCTCCTTCGCCAAGAAAACCCCTGAAATCATGACCCTAAACCCTACACCCTAAACCCTAAACACTTGCAAGACAAGCGTCGTAAGCACCACGCCGGTGCTTTAGCTGGCCGTCTGAGCCCTGTCTACTACTGTCGACAACTATTTAGAGTTTATCTGGACCAAAGAGCCTCCCTTTCTGGGGGTTCCTCATTATGATTTTTTTTGGTTTAGGGGTTCAGGGGTTTGGGGTTTAGGGGTTTAATAGACATTGTGACGGGTTTGGGTGCCAATAAGATTTGACCGTACGTTATGAGCAAACCGTTTTGAGCAGGTTCTTCTTTTGAAGCCTGATTTGGGATCTGTTGGATCCGGGGCTGTGCGTGGGAGCTAGTGTGAGCAGGATAGCAGGGGTGGGCTGGAAACGGTGGCTGGAGGGCTGCGTTGGGCCGTGCGGACTCGGCTTTTCTGATTGAAACCTGTTTTTTGGAATGGGGGGCCGGGGGCTGCTTGGGGCTGGGGGCTGGAGTGGGCAGGGCTGTGGGGTTTTCTTGTAGTAGAGTTATTAGAACATGGTTTCTTTCTTTCTTGGGGGTTTAGGGTTTTTAGGGCTTATGGGTCATTAAGTAAGACTCAGGTCTGACCTGCGGTGTCACGCTTCGGACTCTAAGGATGTCCCAAGGCTTCCCCTAAACTTCTGATTCCGGCAGGGCCGAGCTTCAAAATTTTCAAAGGTAGTCGCTTGCAGGTTACAGCTTCGGAACCTCGTGGCTTGCCGCCGAAGGGGCACAGTTGTGAAAGTCTGAATGGAGCGGCACGTTCAAACTACCAGCCGCACTAGTCTGCCAAGTGAATGACATGCCGAACCCTATGCGAACGTCCCAAGTATCAATAGTCCACCCTAAACCCTCAACCCCATGAGCCCTAAGCCCTTAACCCTAAACCCTCTAAACCCTAAAGTCCAGCCCTATAAACCATCCTGAACCGCCACCGAAAAGCCCTCAAGTTGCGGCACCCAATGAACTGAAAGACCCTCGGCCCCTTTCCGACCTTGGCAGCCAAGATCTCGCAGGGGACAAGGCCTCCGACCTCTGAGACTGCAACGAACTCAAGAGCAACTCATTATTTTTTTGGGGGGTTTAGGGCTTGGGGGTTTTAGGGTTTAGGGCTTTGGGGGTTTAGGGTTTAGGATGACCCTGCGACGAACTCAATCGTAATTCAGGGACAAAGGGCCTTTCTAGTTTGAATAGGGGTTCCGAGAGGAGAGTTCTTTAGACACAAGGGCTTAGGACACTCCTGGGCTTAGTTTCTTCCTTCCTGTTCTAAAGCTCCTTTGCCTAAAATCTTGCAGGAGGGCTTGGTCAGGCTTATAGTAGTCTTAGGCTCTAAGTCGAAGAGTCTCGGAGCCTAAGCCGTAGCGCTCTAAGGCGCAAAGGTTTCCTTCGTTTATGTGAAAGCTATTAGTAAGGAATCTAAGGCTTATTCTTGCAGTAGAACTCGTGATCGTCCGACTGCTAGGATGAGCATCTGTCATAAGAACGAAGGCAGAGTCATCGGACAAGTTAGAAAGAATGAGTCCGACGGTCCGAGCCAAAGTAAGCCATTGACCATTGGTATTGGTGACAGTTGAAAACATAACTGCAGTCATGACAAGACCACAGTCCGAATAATGTTGGTATTCGAACAATCACGGGCTTTAAACACCAACAAGACAGTTCAATCGAACATCCCCCCCATTACTTTCCCTGCAACTTTCACGGCCTTTATGATTGTCATCATCACCTCCACCAACACGACCGGCACCACCATCATCATCCTTTCTTTCCAACGCAGTAAGAAGGTCTCTTACTAACGACGCCTACATCATGCTCCTTGGCATGACGGCCACTTTAAGTAGCTTGGCACGAATGCTCACGTGGTGAGCGACCCTAAAAAGTGCACCTGAGCGCCGTGTCACGGCTGACTGATGCTTTCGACGTCGCAGACTTCACTCGTCCATCTCTTCAAGATGGGTTGGAGTTTGAAGTCTTCCATCCTCATGTGTGTTTTCAGGACATTTGCTGTTGCGACCGTGATGTAGAAGCTTCTGTTCCAAGATCTGCAGTCGCATCAGCATATCCAGCATAATCTTTTGCTGACGTCGAAGGTCCGCTTGAAGCTGCAAGATGGTATTCTCCGGATTCTGTAAGCGAGTGGCCGCCCAATCCAGGTTGTTCTGTGTCAATGCCAGCCTGCGAATGGACATGGCCGGGGCTGCACGAAATCGGTTCGGTATGAGCAGCTGTCAGGGCTAGAACCAGAATGTACATGTTTCTTTGCAGCTTCTCGCGAGACTGAGCCGTGATGAGACAAGGGCTTTTTTCATCATCAAACTGCCAGAGCATGTGCTCTGAGGCTTCGGAGGGGCAGGCTTGCACCATGGTATAGTGACCACTATCAACCGTTCTTCCGTGATGTTGTATATATCCCACAACCTGGTATGCTGCCCATCTAACGTGTAGCGTGGACACATCAGTAAAAATCGGCATGTCAAGCTGGTGTGTACAGTGATACACCTGCCTGCCCTTACTGATGCGGCCATCGGCTTGTGCAAACCGTGGGAGCTGTAGAAACAACCAGGGGTCCGGCTTGGTCAGTGCATATCTGAAGTCCTGACTAAACCAAAAGTTGATAAGGTCTTGGAGGTTGGGGCTATGCCTAGAGGGTTTGAGGAGCCGGATGCATTTGGTTGTTGAGCCCTCGAGCTGCTTCGCAACCCCATCACTCGAGTGTTGTCGGCATTCGACCTGACCAACGATGTGCTGCAATGACAGACGCGGATTCAAGAAATCAATCAGCTCTGCGATGTCGTGCTGCTGCTCGGGTCGCGGCCACCCCAGAAGTTGAAACCCAAAAAGGTGACGAGCCAAGACAGGCTCATGCACATCCCCCGCGACCTGAGGCAGAAGATTCTGAACACCACTATGGTATGAGGCAACCCAAAGTGAGTACAAGTATGCATTGAGGTAACAGTGGTTTCCTGGATTGGCGAGACGAAAGGGCGGATGGCGCTGAGAGCCTGACACAGATGGCACCGGTGCTGCCGTAGTGTCTTCGCCCCTTTGGTCCTGGCCCTGGTTTACCCTCGGAATGCAAGCTCCGCGATTTGTTGGGCCAACTTGCAGCGTTGGCCGTTTTCTCGTTTCACTGATATCCCTATCAAGTGGGTCAACGAGCTGTTGACCAACTGAAGAAGCAGGGCATGCACGAGGTCGGACTCCTTGCCCCGGAGGGACACTTCCAAGAAGAAGGTTGCATTCTGGTGCCCGGCTTCCTCCAACTTGTAAAGAGGTTGGGTTGCCGCAAACTTGTGGATTATGTCGCCGTTGAGCGAGTCCCTCAACGTGGTGAGCAATCTCACCGCATTGTCGTGAGTCAAGGGGGTGCGATCCTCGTCTCGAATGAGACGTTTGGTTTTCGCACACCATCGCTGATAAACCCAGTGACCCTCGCTGTTGATCCAGCCTGCTGCAAGGAGCTTCGCCTTGCCATCCTCTGTCGACGTGACAGTCTGAAGTCTCGACAGGAGTTCTCGAATGACACAAGAGAGCAGCACGGTCTTCAAGGAGAGGCCTGCCTCCAGGTTGGCTGCTTTCTCCTTTTTCTCGTTCCATGCAGCTGAGGCTTTGTAGAGGGCTGGGAGGATGCTGTGCTGATCCTGCTTCACGAACACTATCAGGCCTCGGTCCTGCCTGATCAGCGCGAGCTGCTCCTCGTGGCGAAGCAAGAGACGACACACCTGAGTGAAGGTATCGCCTGAGACCCCCGTGCTGGAGGGCAGAGGTGCTTGGAAGGGACTGGAGTGATACATGGGATGTCCCCTTCGGTCCCCCGGTCGTGCTCGTGATCGAAACTCCGGTCGTGGCCTCTTGTTCGGAAAGGACTGAGTCGGGTCCACAGGTGATTGCAGCAGCGGGGTCTGGCCGCTGGGGAAGCAGGCGTGGAAGATGTCCTCCGTCAGCTGGGCATCTGTGTCGGTCATCCCTGCAAAAGGTGACTGCGATGCAAAGCTGAAAGAGCACAGCACACTGCTGACTGTGTCGGCCTGGTGCTCCAACTTTGACACCACAAAAGCGGCAGCTACTGTCTCTCCGGAGCTGTGCTTTAAAGGTGGTGCAGAGAACAAGGGCTTTGGATTGCAAGTCAGGCATGTGCTGGTGATGGACTTTGTTGTAATGTTGCTTGACATGCTTGGTATCAGCGATCCACATGCCACAGAGAACACAGTACTGAGCCAGTTCCTTGCGTGCATCGGCGGTGCTGAGCTGCATTTCCCAGTTATGCAAGACAGCATGAAAAGTCGGGCGTAGAGCAAGTGGCAAAGTCGACGGCTGAGGCTCAATTTCTGTAGCCTTGGGGCGGCTCTGAATCTGTGATGCCTGAGCCGGTTCAGTCACTGTCGACTGCTGCGGCTCCGCCGGAGCCGTCTCCTTGGCAGGGTACCTGGTGGCTGCATCCCCCACAAGCTTTTCACAGGCACCTGTGCGTATATGTGCTTTTAGGTTGCCCCACCTGTAGAATCGCCTGAGGCACAGCGAGCACTGCGGGAGCCCATCCTTGGCATGAACATGGGCGATGAAGTCGGTAGGTGTTCTGGTGCTATGTTCAGGTAGCACAGAGTGCTGAAGCTTGCAGTGGACACGCATCGCATTCTCAGTGGGGAATTGCTGCTGGCATTGGGGGCATGTATAGGTGCAGTCAGTGGGATTGTTGTGGTACGAGGTAGCAAGAGGGTGAGCTGGGAGATGACCAAGACGTTCAAGGAGGGAGTCAACATAATCTATGGTGGCTGTGGTGTTTGTGATGTCGGGGCTGTGGATGCTGTTCTGTGCCAACTTGTCACGATGTTTTTGGAGAAGCTGTTGCGCGAGAGCCGCTGGCGGCTGCAATCCACTGGCATCCCATATGCTACGGTTTGGGGTGTGATGCAGGTGCGCAGGTTGCCGAGCAATGGTCCGGAGGTGTCTGGTGGCTTGTATGTAAAGTTTCTTGTTGCTTTTTGGCGTCAGCCCCACTACGGGAACTGAGTAAATGAGGCTACTGTAAATACACGAGCGCCACAGTGAGGTACGCTGTTTGATGGTAAGGACATGGCGGCCATTCAGGATCCTGCGGATGTCTTGGTAGCGGAGCTGGCCAGCCTGCATGCGTTTGGTGGTGTTGGCATCTTGTCTGCGGTGATACGAGACAGTGGTTCCCAAGTACTCATGCTGGGATTTGATCGGTATGAGCCTGATGACACCTCTGATGTCCACCTCCAGGTAGGTGTTGCCTTCTTTTTCTACCGTGCAATCAGCCAGGGTTTTTGCTGCCTGCTTGCCTTCGAGGCGTAGCAGAATCGCGGTTTTCTGGTAGTTGACACTGAGGTGGAAGTCCTCAAGCACAGCTATGATATGTGCAATGTCAGCGATTGCACGAGTGACATCGGAGGTTGTGCGAATGAGCCAGCTGCCCCAGCAGTCGTCTGCAAAGAGCGTGCAGACTTGTTGCAGCCACTCCATGCTTCTGGCCTCAACCAATTTCAGCATTACAGCCACAGTGAAGAATGCCCAGATGCTCGGGGCTATGGTGCAGCCTTGCTTTATGCCGTTAGTCGTGCATACGAAGTCAGTGCAGCTGCCTACTGTGAAATGGTACTGAGCCTGCTGGTGCAGGCTTTGAATGATGTTCACGGTGGTTCTATCAACACCATGTTGCAGCATGGTGTGGTAGGCAGTGGGTCGGTGCACCCCGTCGAATGCACTGGAGAGGTCCAAGGATAAGGAGACTCCCCCCACACAGGCTGATCTCTGCTTCCCTGCTTTCTGTTGGAACCTATCGATTCTGTTGGCAGCGATAAGGGCCGCAGTTTGCTCAAAGTGTTGATGGACTTTGAGTAATGCATCTGTGGTGCCCCTGTGGGGAAGATAAGCATACTGCGGCAGCTCTCGGACAACAGGCTGGAGATGTTCCATCACTGCAACTTTTAAGGCACTGGCAAAGGACTTCGTCGCCGGGCTCTGAAGGCCAATGGGCCTCATGGAGGCCACTGTGATCGGTTTCTTATGTGGCTTTGGCAACCAAATCACATTGGTGTTTTTCCAGTCTCCCTCAGCACTCGCAACCTGACCTTGGGAGTAGTGCTTATTGAGGGCAGGGCCCAGTAGGGCTCCCACCGGGCCCGAGCAGAGTCTCCACATTGCTGCTGGAGCAATGTGTGGTGGCACGGCCTTACGGATCCCAACTTTAGACAGCTTGTGCTGAAGCAGGGGTATCCCGAGATCTAGGCCATGCTCCAAGGGGGGAGGCAGCTCAGCATCAGCCTTCGAGGCGAAGGCTTGTTTACTGAACGAGACGATTGCTTCAAGCTGTTGCTGAGAAGTCATCGGGTGACCGTCCTCCGTGAGAAGACGGAAAGCGCACCGACCTGAGCGAGGCCCAAGTCTTTTGACAATCTGGAAGAGAGCTCTTTGGTCTCCCTGAGAGTCTGCACGTTCAGCAGCAGAGATCTGCTCCTGGTAGAATGCTCGTTTCAGCTGCCTACTCTGCTGGCGTAGAGCCCTGGAAGCTTGGCGAAAAAGGACTAGTTGCCTCCACTGCTGCAGCAAGCCGCCTAGTGTGCGCGGGCCTGGGCGACGCATGGATCGATACAACTGCCATGTGTAGGTAGCCGAGGCTTGGAACCTGGGATCTGCACTGATTCGGCTGTCTTTGGCAGCCGCCGGGGGGAAGTGCTCCTGGGCTGCTCGCAGGAGAACAGCATTGATATGGGAGTGCAACTGACACAGACTGGCGTCAGTAGTGCAGGGGGCCTCCAGCTGTTGCTGGACGTCACAGAGCATGGCACGAGCCTGAGCAGTTTGCATCTGCACGGCTTGTTGCAGGGCTTGCATATTGCACCTGGGTTCTGGCCGCTTCGGTGGCTCTGGCAGCCTGCCGAAGGGAAGCAGAGGGATCTCAGCATGCAAGGGTTTGTGCCCGGTTTCTCTGGCAGCACCCACAGGAAAATCATGCAGTGGTCTGGTGCAAAAAGCTGTACCTCTGGCCTCTGTTCGCCTCTGGAGCACGAAGTCAATCTGAGTTTTGGCCTGTGTTGAATAGTACGTGTGCCGGGGTTTACTGTTGAAGGTGTTTAACACACAGAGGTCCAAGTCAACCACAAGCTGCTGCAACTCTCTAGAATGATTATAGGCATCAGAGGGGGTCGAGGCATGGCCTATGTAGGGAGGCTGGGGCTTAAGGGTACTATTGAAGTCACCGGCCACTAACAGGTGATGCCTACTGGGAACCTTTGCACAGGCCTCTTCAAGGGCTTGCCAGATTGGCCCACGAAGGCTGTGATTCTCAGCTGTAGTCAGATGGGTTCGCCACACATGTTGATAGATCACAAAGGCGGTCAGAGGTCTATTCGTGCACCGCAATGTGGCCTGTAGCTGTAGCAGCCTCCCCGGGTGGAGCTCCTTCACGGAGAGGTCTTGTAGATGCTTCCTTGAGGCAAGCACCAGGATCCCGCTTGACTTGTCAGGGTGTTGCGGGGAATCGTAACCTGAGCTATGTATGCATTGCCACTGCCCACTATTGAAATCGGCTGTGCTTTTCCAATGTGTTTCTTGCAGCACGACTAGATGATACTGATTGGCAGAATGATGATGGTCTAGCCAAGTCATGAGTTCTTGAAAAATACCTCCTGATAGGCTGCTTGCATTCCAACACAACAACCGCAACGGTCGGACCTGCCTGGAGCTGGCAGAGCAGCGATCGGCTCTGGGATTCCTGTTGGCGGGTTGTTGCCGGCCTACAAGGGCATTAAGGGTCCGGGGGGTGTGCCACCTACCTTTATAGTATGTGCCACCCAGCGGTGAGGTCTCCGCTCGAGTTCTCGCCCTACGAAAGGCCCTCTTGTGCTGCCTGAGGTATGTGGACGCGGGGTCGCCCACTGGCGTGTCGCCGTGTCGCTTCCCCGCCGAAGCGGGTCCAGTCCCTGCCGCGACGTCAGGGACAACCCTCACCCCACTAGTCTGCTGGCACAAAGTTAGAACAACGATGGTACTGAGACTAGCCCCGGACTTGGGACCGGGTTGGCCTTTACTTGAGTGATGTTTCCTATGGAGAGGTCTAGGGGACTTAGGGGAGTCATGGTTATGAGCCCAATGTATGGGGGGTGGGAAGGCAAGCATGTCAGGCGTCCAGCCTGCTTGGCTGTGGCTGGCAGAGCCAGCAGCTGCGCGCGGGCGGTGCCGCATCCACGCCCTGGTTAGGGAGAGAGGCTGGAGATGGCAGGTCCAGCGTGCTATCCTACGGTGTCGCCTAGTAACCCGGGAGGCGTAGAGCTGGAACTGGGAGGCTCGCTGAAGATATGGTCGCCAGGGGACGCTTGTTTGCTTCCACCAGAAAAAGGCAGCCATCTCACGCTCTGGGCTCGCCTGCATGTCGTCGCCCACGGGCGTGAGCCACTTTCCAGTTCTGCCATTGCACCAGCCAGCTGCTTTGTAGGTATTGGTCGGCTTTGGCGCACAGGGTGTACCAATCGGCTGCTGCCACATCTCGCTGATACCATGCCAGCTTGCCAGCTCGTGAGCGGGCGGTGAGGCTCGGCTGAAGCTCACCGAGCTGATTGGCATAGAGCCCTTGCAGGAAGGCTTTAGCTTCGTCCAGCGGGCCGGCTTGCAGAATGAGCGAGAAGCTCGAGCTACAATCACTTGCCTCTTCAGAGCCTTCCTCAGAAACCACGAACTGGGAGCTGGGCAATGATGGAGAGCTGTCGGTCTGGGGATCACCAGAGGCCCTTCGTCGCGAGCCGGCGGGTGGTCGTAAGAGGGCACCCGGAGGCGGAGGTGGGCCCCGAGGCGGGGACCGACTCCGGATGGTTCGCCGAGGTTCTGCTTCTGGACCGCGGGTTGGGTTGCCATCGTACAGCCGAGCTGAAGACCTGCGACCAGAAGTATCGCCATCCTGAACAAGGTTCCTGTCATCCGAGGCTGCAGGCGGTGTTCTCTCAGCGCCTCTGCCTTTCCCTCTGGATCCATGGCTCATGCTATGCGGGATTTCCAAAATCACTCGGGCCAAGGGGCTTCACCATCATCATTATCACCATCATCATCATGACCATCGTCGTGGTTATCAAGATAATCTTCTTTTTCATGTTTCTGTGATGCCTTATCCTCGCCATCACCAACATCAGCATCATGACCGGCTCGTCATGATCGCTGGCAATGGTCATGAAAGCCTCCGCGGTCATGATTGCCATGCCCGCGATCATCCTACCATCGTCACCGCTAATGCAGTTCACATCCCGTACTCTCAACACAACCGCCCTTTACCATGATTTGAGTCAAGGAAAAGCTTAGGCTTTAAGAAGACTCAAACTTGCCAATTTGCCCTGGGCCGGTCCCGCTACGCCTCATGAGCATGAAGATCTTGACTGTGCATAGCCCTAGGGCTCCAGTTACCTAAATACGTAGTAGGTTACTAGCCACTATGTAGTACGTCCAGTAACCTACTATTTGGCTAACTGGCGCCCTAGGGAAGACTATGCAGCATTCACGCTTGCGGCCAAGTAGCCCCGTGGACTTGCATGTGGCATCGGGCATTGTCCGCGCTTTCGGCGAGGAGCTCCTGACGATACTGCAAGTCCAAGGTACAGGGATCAGCTGTCTGTTTGATGAACCCCCACCTGCAGGAGAACACATTCTTCAGATTTCTGCAGCATGTTTTTTACTAGCCATGCCTCCACCTTGACTTGGTTGTCTAGTGGCATATCAGAGACCCATGTCCATGGTTCACTCTTGGAGTCCCCAACAGGGAATCTGAAGTGGGGAATGACATGCCGGCCCACACAGTAAGCAACCATGGAATGCAGCTTCATTAGACTCTGCTCCTGTGTCTCTGAGCCTGCATATTACTCTTTCGAGGTGTCTGATACGTTGCCTGAGTCAGAGCGTTGAGATTGTAGACAGAGAAATTTAACCGCCTTGTCCGTATGTTATGACCCGTCCCAGCTAGCTGTTGTCAACAGCTAGCGACTAGCACTGTCGAGCGCCAGACGCCAAGCCGAAATATGCTTTCGGTGGAAACCGACTGACACCTCCGACAGTTTCAACAGCGATCCAGCAGCCCTTGAAGTTTTTTGGGTTGAGGGTTTGAGGGTTAGGGTAAGTTTTGGCCAGTCCATGACACCCTCAAAGCAGACTGCCCGCCTCCAGCACATGCCGCCTTGGAGAACACCTGGCAGCCTTCTGAGCGCTGCTCCAGCAGGCTGCGACACTCGCCTTCAACTTCGAGCAGTTAACTACACACATGGTTTTCGTTTTAAAATATGTCATACTCTGCTACAATATGTTATATTGCATAATTAAATTATAATGTGATATATTATGTTAGATGATTAGATTAGATTAGATTAGATTAGATTAGACTTAGATTTAGATTTAGGCTAGATTCTAGATTGTCCTCTATATATATGTATAGATAGATATAGATATAGATATATAGAGAGTGTTTTATACCATATTTCGGGGGGTCTAGGGAATCTAGGGTCTCTGCATGGGGTTTCGGACTTGCGGTGGAGGGGCTGGGTTGTAGGGATCCGCGTCTGAGCGTCAAGGGCGTTGCCCTCGGCTCCCTTTGGACGCTACTTTAGGCTTTGGGGGTTAGGGCTTAGGTGTTTGGGAGCGGTTTTGTGTGAGCACCTTTTCCGTCAACTGAGGAAACCTGAACAGGGTTTAGAGCTTCATTGGGGTGGTTGTGGGGTTGCCCAACGGCATGGCGAGTAAGGTGAAAGCAAAGATCGCTTGAGCACAACGCATTCTGCCACAAGTGCACGAAGCTACAGAACTGCAAGCAATGGCAAATGATCGTGCCATCAGAAGCATATCAGAGACGCCCACAGGATTTTTACAACAACACACTTGCAGTCCCATGCATCTACTTTCAATTGAGGCCGAGCATTCCGAAGACACCAGCTAAGAAGGCTCCCAGGTCCTAGAAAACACAATGCATCTTAGGGCTTAGGGTTTAGGGATTAGGGTTATCATTGATTTCCCTCTATTCCCGAGCGGTCCAAAACGAGCATTGCTGAGCAGCTTCGAGAGTTCAGGGCCAAACAGTGCCTGCCACTCAGTCCCTGGTCAGATCGCTGGGCCCTCAGATGACCTGCTTCCGTTAATGCCTAGATAGGCCTTACATAAATAAAACAAATATATATATATATATAGATATATCTATCTACATACAAGAACACCGAATTAAAGCACCTCTGCACCCTTGAATCAATGCGCCTGCAACTACTGCAAAACTTGGTGCTGTCAACACAGCAGAATTTCCCCATACTATTCCTTCGGGTTCTTATTACAAGTTTCGTGTAGACAATAAACCGCAATATCCTGTTCTAAGAACTTAGAGCGCCCACTGTTAAGTCCATCATTCGAGCCTGATTTTTGCTGGCACACAGCAGCCACTGCAGAGCGCGCCCTGGCATTGCAACTGAAGGTAACACACGGACTCTGCGAATACACCGGCTCTTGCATTCAGTTGTTGTCGTGGGCATGACAGATCTTCAGTTAACTATGAAAATGCACAAGTATGGCATACTCGCAGCTGTTGTTGTCGCTGGTGATACTGCTTCCCGTTTAGCTCCTCCTATACGCACTATTGCTAATTGCTCTGAAATCTCATGCAGTTTCGCTATGAAAAGAACAGGTCTGCTGAGTTGCCCCGCTGCCTGCTAGCTGGAACTGTTCCTCGATGTCCGGCACCGTATCCGCAGTGGAGATGTCCTGCCGGTGCTGTGGACAGATGCACTTGCACGTTTAAACGGCTCTGCTTTTAAATACATGGTAACTGCGACATGTAGAATATTGCAATCATCATCTAGAACATAGCTCCCACTAATCAGAAAACTGAGCACGATACCACGGTCTGAAATAACCAGTGAAACAGTAGGAAATCACCCCTAAACGTGAACACTGCAGCGGGATGATAAGACGGCTACTGGCCGGCACAGCAACACTGTATGCTACTAGGGGAAAACGACAACCACCAACACAATCGCTGCCATCGCCATCGACATCACCATCGCCATCGTAGTCATTACCATCTCAAATCTTATGCATATGTCTATATATATATATACATACGTACGCATGCATGCATGCATGCATGCATGCATGCATGCATTCATGCATTCATGCATGCACGTATGTATGTGGGTATGTATATCTATCTGCGTATACATATATATATATATATGTATAGATTGAGAGAGGCAGAGTGACACAGACCGAGAGAGAGAGAGAGAGAGAGATATAAACAGCTTATATACATGCGTGCACACGGATATGCGTATAAATCTACTACCTTACAGTAGGGTGCTAGGCTCCCAGATCAAGAAAGTACAAGACCTGTACATCGAAACTGGGGGATCTATTGTAGATGCGACTTTGGAAGTCATGACGCGCGCACATTGCCACATCGGATCTACTTACTTTCTTGTTCTGCACCGGGAGCCCATAATCAAATCTCAAACGTGCAGGCGCAAGGCCATAATTAAACCACGACAGTCAGACAGACAAAGCCATGCAATTGAGTTGCAGTGTACCGGACCTGGAGTCGAAGCTACTGCAGAAGCCCTAACCCCACATGTTCTCGACCTCCACAAGCAACGGTTCAGCAGCATCTGCTCCGCCAATATCTGGCCCCGGCACCTCATGTGCTTGTGCACGAATGCTCCTTGTCCCGCGCGCCCCAATCGTAACCCAAAGCCCTCTAATCTGCGAATCTAAACCCTAATCTAGACTCTATACCCCGGAAATCTTAAATGCCTGAATCTGAGAGATGCCTCGGCCGCCAGCTGTGGGCTTAGCTCGGAGTCGCTGCGGACGGGCTGCGCAGGGTCGGCTTTGGGGTCTTGGGGTTTAGGGGTTTTTGGGCTTTCAGGGTTTAGGATTTGGGGTCTTTGGGCTTCAGGGTTGAGGGTTTCAGGGCTTACGAGCAGTCCTGTTCTCTATGCTCTTATGTCGTGTTTGGCGGTTCGTTTCTCTCACCGCTCTTGTTGTTGGTTGGTAGTGCTCCATCGCGGTCCTGTTGAGTTCTCGGTGGGCTAGCTCTGCAGTCTTCTTGCTGCGCGCTGGTCTTGCTAATTCTGTGTTTCGTGGTGACATTTTCTTCATCTTCATGCTGCTGCTGTACCTAGTACTTTCCATTTATGATGTGTGGTTGCGGTGCTGATAGTGCTACTTACATACCCTCTCAAAACAGTTCAGTTATATACACTATGACTGCTTTTGCTCTTCTTGTGCTGGCTTTATATAGTTTTATTACCCTTTTTATGGCTCTTTGTTGCTGCTGGTATCGCAAGCCTTGGTCCATGTTACTTCTGGTCAATAAGTTTGTCGGGCGTGTGTTGTCTTTTCGCTTCGGCTGCTAATGTTTTCAATGCTTGTTACTCGGCTGATTGACATTGCTCTTCCAAGTCTATAATCATCTTTCTCATAGTTGCATCGCTTCTGTGACTCATAATGCTTTGACAAATGCTGCTCATGGTATCGGGGTATCGGTATTGCTATTGCGGCTACAACACCTGAAACATGCTTCCCAGAGTGAAACCAATCAAATGCACACGCATGGTCGTGCCAACTGGTTGGGGCGTGGATATAAGTATAACACTAAGCCACAATCAGAATCCTAAGTCCAAAACCATCTTAAACCCTGCACCCGAACCCCTCAAAATTCACTCCGAATCGCCCACCTCAGCCGATGATGATCCAACTTCATCTGCTACAGGTGCTTCGGAGCCACTCTGGCCATCCTGCTGTGTTAGTTCGTGGGGACTGAGTTGAGGCTGTGTGATGGGAAAGGGCTTTAGGGGTTTAGGGTTTTAGGGTTCAGGGTTTAGGGCCATGCATACAGATCCTTCCCGTAAGGATCCTAGGGATCCCAATATTTTCTGGCTCTTTCTCAAGGTACTTCCCTAAACTTAACATAGACCCCAAACCCTAAACCTTCGACCCTACACTCTAAACCCTAAAAC